GTTGAGCTGGCCAAGTTTGAATCAGATCACTGTATGTTGAAAAAATAGATTGCTCTGCGGTTCCCGCGAGCTGGGCATGCCTTGTGAGTAAGGGGTGCTCGGTGCTGATACAGGTGGGATCCAGCCAGCAAAATGCAACCAAACGTGAGATCATGTTTCAGACATTAATGTGCGGTGACCAGCCAGAATAGATGCACATCCCACATCCCGTAAGGTAGGTGCAACTTAAAACCCGCAGGTCCAATCACAGATTATCGGTATCGTATCACGTCACTAAGTATTCCTTTATCTAGGTTTGCAGACGAAATTGCCGGAAATTGATTTTTCCTTCGTTGCACGGAACATGCCGGCAATGTGTGCAACATGGTTCGCTATCTCGTCGATAAAATGTTTCACTTAGCGACGCTAACAACGCAACGCTGGCGGCTGCCGGCACTCGAGACCGTTCCACCGACCTCTGACACATGGGTCACATGAGTCGGCACGCCCCAGGCCGCCAGCGTGCCCACGCGTTGCACGTCAGACTAACCTCCAGAGGCAACCAGGCAACATCCGCCGGCAGTGGGGCTAATGGACCAGTCGATGACCATGACGGGGCTGCCGCTGATGCCGCGGCGACACCGCTGCGCAGCGAGCATGACAAACGCCGTGCGTGCCGACGGCCACTCTCGCCGCACAGTCAACCCTCAGGCGACCACCAGCCGCGCTCCTCACTCGGCGGCAGGCGGCACACGTCGCATAGTCCACCCTCAGGCGACCACCAGCCGCGCTCCTCTCTCGGCGGCAGGCGGCACTCGTCGCATAGTCCACCCTCAGGCGACCACCAGCCGCGCTCCTCACTCGGCGGCAGGCGGCACTCGCACGTTTACAGCGCCGCTTTTGGCCTCGGGCAGCGGGATCTTGGCGAGTCTGGTAGCTCTTGGCGATACGATGTGACCTTGCAGGGGCATGTTTTTACAAAATAATTGGGAGAGGGCTGAGCTGTCAAAAAGTGCGTAAATTACCCTCGAATACGCAAACAAGCGGGTTCCCCGGGTTTGTCCCACATTCTTCTCAAAGTTGGCGGGGGGGGGGGGGTCTGGAGCCCTTCCGATTTAACAGGAAACTACACCTCCGTTATTTTGCGTGACTAGCACATGACCTTCAGATATTTACTAGCTTCCAGTTTTGTCACCAGTTGTTATCGACCAGAACAGTTTTCAGCGGCTGTCAGGATCGGCCACTGGCTTGTCCACGCAACCAGCGTCGCGGACTGCCCGGCGTCACTGAGGCACGGGGCCGAATCGCGTTCAGAGGCAGATGACACCGCGCCAGGACACCCTGAGACAATTGCACAACACATTGTAGACTCATCGGAAGCTGCAATGCACTAACATCAGACGGCTTCGCCTTCCGATTTTCATTTACTTATCGACACGTTTTGCAGTTAAAGTTTACGATACATGGAACTAACCATTGACAAAATCACATGATGCTTTGCAGTGCGCTTGGACTGATCGAAGCGGCTGCCGTTCGCTGACGGCCCGTTTTTGGCAACCACTGTGTCCGTTTATTGCAATCATCCCTTCCCCTCTCATTTCCCGCTCCTGGACTTCCCTCTGACATGCAGCTTTCTTTATAGGAAATATCTACTGTACAGAAGTGGAAAATGTGTTAGGCGTTGTTCTAGTGCGTCATGTTTCAAATAATTATGTGACACCTTCCTTTCATTTCTGAAGGTGCCTTTGAGCAATCTTTGCCTTCCTGCTGTTAAACCCGTGCATACATTTTCTTCCATTATGCATCGATAGCTTCGTAGTGTTGGCCCAAGTTGGACACTGCACTCCTGTGCCCTTTTTTGCTCCCTATGAACACGTCACTTTTTGTTCCTTTGCCACTGTCTATATCCATTGGTTGAGTGAATATTGTCAGGAAATGCAAAGTTTTGCATCTGGATCCCGATGAGCTGCCTTTACCTCACTGTATTGATGACCCGCAATGCTGCATTGCGTTATGCCGCAATTCAACTGTGGAAACTCTCCATTTTGAGCCCTGAAAACGCCTCTGCCATGTCGCTTTTGGTAAGCAATAACGACACTGCAGTGCACCTGTTATCAAAAGATGTCACAGGAAACGGCAACAACTCCTGTAAACGCAAGGCTGCTCGCAGAATCCCATGGTAGAGTCCATCGCAGCATTGCTACCAAATGTTACTGGAGGTCCCTCCCAAAACCGAACCCTGGTACTGCTCCTGCGCATGCCGCGTGGCCTTGATGGTGGCACTATATGTATATAGGATGTTTAAGGAAATTCTGACAAATTCAACGATCCAAACCGTTTTGGAGGATCCAGCAAAGACAAAGACGTGGGACTCGCTTGGCGCTTTTTGATGATAAGATTAAGGTCATTACAACTCAAAAGTATTGATTTAAGCAAGAAAGGCCATGAGGTCGGCTTTCCAGCATTGCGGGTTTGACTTTTTACGCCTACAGCAATTTACATTAATTATCACAGGAGGTACAAGCTAAACAACGTTATCAAGGGAATGTTGTTGGTATTGTCAAGATCTGGCGTTGCAGGGCTTGGTTGGGGCTGGTTCGCTGCATCTCGTTCACTCGCGACCATGAGCACGGTTTAAAACGTCGGGGTTTGTCAACATAAGCAAGGTTGCCTCCTAACATTGTTTACTCAACACGTCTTTGTATAGCTAATGACTTTTAATTAGGGTCAGCATAAAAGTTCCAAACTCATTATCAAGTTCATAACGCTGAAAAATATTTCGTGTTCAACACACCATTTCATCACGCGTCATCATCGTCACGGCATCATTGTGAAACGCCTGAAACAAATGATGTAAAAGATTAGCTATTAATCCGCTTAAGTAACTCTTCATCATCAAATGAACTTTTAGAAAATAAGCACGTAAATGTTCTTACATTTTGACAGCACTTATATTTTCGTCAAGTATTGACGAAATAGTGGCCTGCTGCACTGTGCATGTCAGTCCTCAAAATTCGAGCATTGTGCACTTAATTTTTTATTGACGAATTTGGCCAGAGTCATCCCGAGGTGTCTTGAACAAAAGGCCATAATTCCGATCCCGCACAAATCATTTTCACATAACGCGGGCTCTTGGGAATGTTTAAGATACGCCTGCGCACCGGCAGGTCTCTGGGCACTACCATTATAAGTTGCATACAGCATGCACTGCATGCGTGAGCGTATTTATGGCTTTCATTATCAACAGCGAGAATATGAACCGTCGTAAAGAGCTGCCATGTAATACCAGCTTGGTTTACACCTTGAAATCCGTCTCAGACTGGCGGCTGGTGAGCATCGTACATCGACAGCCTATCTCCCACCAGCTTGCACAAAACAGCCCCGCACTTCTCCGCTTGTCGGCGCTGTGGGCCAGGGATCTCGCATCATCAAGCTCGCTTGCTGAAAGACGCTAACCTGGAAGACAACCGTGCATCAGGCTGCTGAATCATGCTAACCTGGAAGACAACCTTGCATCAGGCTGCTGAATCACGCTGACATGGAAGACAACCGTGCATCAGGCTGCTGAATCACGCTAATCTGGAAGACAACCGTGCATCAGGCTGCTGAATCACGCTGACATGGAAGACAACTGTGCATCAGGCTGCTGTATGACGCTGACATGGAAAACAAACGTGCATTAGGCTGCCGAATCATGCCAACCTGGAAGACAACCGTGCATCAGGCTGCTGAGTCACGCTAACCTGGAAGACAACCGTGCACCAGGCTGCTGAATCACGCTAACCTGGAAGACAACCTTGCATCAGGCTGCTGAATCACGCTGACGTGGAAGACAACCGTGCATCAGGCTGCTGAATCACGCTGACATGGAAGACAAGCGCATCAGGCTGCTGTATGACGCTGCCATGGAAGGCAACCGTACTTCGGACTGGTGACGGCTGTCAGCCGCCTGCCGGTCGTTCCCACCTGCCGCGCGCTGTCGGCGCTTCGAGTCTGGCAGCTCGGAACAAAAGACGCCTCGCTGTGTTATCAGTGTGTTATGTCTGGCAACAAGAGGCAAAAGACACCTCACTATATTGCCGATGCTTAGCGCCTGCCAACACGGCACATTATACATCCCACTGTGATGGAGCATCAGGAACGACGCTACAGATTTGGAGTTGGGTGCAGGATTTTCCTTGGGGAAGTCCCGGACAAAATGGGACCTCCTCACCTTCTGGCCTTCCGGGGGGCCTTCTGCGCAGTGTCGGCTTCAAGGGAGAGGGGCCCCGAGGGCATGTGCTCCTTCATCCAACTGTTACATGCATCATATAGAAGGAAATGAGTGTCGTCAGCGAAACAATCCAGAGATGGACCTTCTAATTATCCAGCAAAGGGCCCCGTTTCACGAAACAGGGTCTTCCGTTCCAGAAAGCGGCTTATCGATGCAGAGAGGACCTTCTAAAGGATAACAGGTTGTTCCGGATTCGCGAAGGGTTCAAGGGCTATTTCCTTCGAATGAACGAAAAGGATTCACGATCAAAATTTAGCCGAGGGGTCTCGCTATCCCAAAACAGGGCATCTTGATCCGGAACCGCGGCCATCTGGTACACGTGAGGGTGATGCTGTCCTAGAAATTGAGTGTTCTGAACATAGAGGGGGCCTCCTAACCCAAAATAGGGGCTTCCTAGCTCGTAACGGGGCCTTCCTAGGCAGTAAAGGTCCTCCTTAACACAACATTGGCCTTCATATCTGAAGCACGGGCTACTGTATTCATAAAGATAGCCTCCTGATCCAGGCGACGGTCTCCTTAGTGTAGAAAAGTGTCTTCTGATCTCGATTTATTATTTTCTAGATGAGTCATGTGGCATCCTTGATCTTAATTTTGGTACTCTATGGGTAGCTACAGTGCCTGTAGATTGAAGAGGGGCCTCCCCAATTTGGGGGGGGGGGGGGTGACGAAAACACACTCTTGCCTCCTGCCTCCCAGGAGAGCGTCAAACAAGGGACACTGAACAAAAGACTTCCCACTGTGTTGCCAGTGCGCCGAGTCTGGCAACCTGAAGACGTTCCGCGAGCTGCATCAGGAGGACCCGGAGCGGCTGAAGTTCCGGGACGACCAGCGCGGCCGCGGCGCCGCCCACTACGCGGCGACAGCCAATCGCGCCGAGATCCTCAGATACATCGCTTCGGTGGATGGAGGTGGGAGGCGTTCGCATGTTATGGTGTATGAGGCCTGGTGCTGCCTTGGTGTAAATGTCTGCAGCTTTTTAATTTTCATTGATCGAATTGATGAAGCGAAGGGGCCATCCACTTTGAGTTTACATCAGTTTGTTTCGGCTTTGGTCATGGTCATAAGGTCATGATTGGTGTCCCATAAAACTAATGAAATATCCAGCATGAAGAGCACATTCTAGTTGAAATTAAATCCCAACATGTCTTACTCCAAGTGCGAGATCCATTTCATTTACCATTCCGTTCTTAAGAGGAAGTAATGGAATCATCTGACAGCGGCCCGGGGCGCGCATGAAGGAACATTGGGTAAATGCAAGGCGTTGGTTAAATGCCCCGTTTAATGCATGCATATCATGTATCCGTTACCCTCCACCACACCCTCTGGCCAGAGACCCTACGTAGCCCCACACGCCGCACGCGGGCCGTGTCCAGTCCCGGCTGTCGGCGAGGTCACCATGCATCGCCCGCCTGGTGCGGTGGTTGCTCGTCACTGCCCCTAGTGCGCTGGTCGCTCCTCGCTGCCCGCCCAGCCCGCTGGTCGCTCGTCGCTGCTCCCTGGTGTGCTGGCTGCTGGTCACTGCCCGCCTGGTGCGTTGGTCGTTCGTCGCTACCCACTGGTGCGCTGGTCGCTCGTGGCTATCGGTGGCCCATGCCGTTCTACGCTTGTCGCAGACCTGAACGGCATCGACAATGAGGGCCAGACGCCACTGCACCTGGCTGTGGAGAACTCAGCTCTGGATGCTATCACCTGCCTCATTGAGAGGTGAGCCGCCAGCCCGCACGGCTGCTGCCGTTGTTGTTTTGAAGGTTTGGGCGCTACATCGGTTTGATTATTCGGCGTCCGTAACCAGCGTCCCAATGACGCGCGGCTAAGTGAATAGTGCAGATCTATCAATATGGACAATCTTTGGTCGAGAATGAGCGTGCTTTCACTGTTGAAGCACTGGGTATACAGCTTTAAAACGATGACTGTGAGAAAATCACAAACACGGGCAATATGCTGTGAAATGTCCCCCAGAAACCCAGTGGGAGATAACGAGTAGTAATCGGTATTATGACGTGTTTCGCTTGGCATGTAAGTCTAAAAAGTACAGGTAAGGATATTGAAAATAGGTCAAACACGCGCCACCTGGCAGGCTAGCTTAGATGGGTGTCTTTCGCGCAGTCTTTGTGGTCCGGTAACTAGAGATGCAGGCCTCCATCCCCGCACTCAGTGGGTGAGCGCGCCATTTGCAAGACACCAGCAGGTGTGGGCTCTTCTGGAATTTGTGGAAGTTTGTTCGCATTCAAGGGGCTGTCGTGGAGACGCCTTGTCATGCAGATGAATACGAACTATAAAAACGGAAGTGTTCAAACGTTTAAATATCTGCAATACAAGCAGTGTTATGTTTTTTACACATATAACGCCCGGCAGAACGTGGAGACGTTCTATTCTGCAGCCTTGGCAAACTACCAGCACATGGCTGACCAGCATAGGCTCTCACGGCGCGCACGCAAGTGCCGGTCCTCTCCACTGAGAACATAATGGTGGGGAGCACATGTGTGACCATTGCTCACACGGAAAAATGTAATCTCATCTCGCCTCACTCTGCGCGAGCCTGATATTCATGGTTTAGGTTAGGCGTTGTGGCTCAGGGATTCTTCGCGTTGAGGGAACCCCAGCACCTCAGCTATTTACGAAGCACAAATCCGGAGATCGCCGAGCGGTGGCTGCGGGTAGCAAGCGGCAACGAACGTGTGCATGGCATAGCCATCACACGTTCAGCTGCCGCGTCTGAGGGCTCATTTTTTATGCCTACGGGGCTCGGGATTCAAAAGACAACAAATCGGTAGTAAGAACTTAAATTTTTTTGTCGCTTTTGCCTATAATCAGTCAAGCAAACAGAAATTGCTGCTGCAATTGGGGCCATGTACAAACGCAGTTAGTTGAATGCCTTTTTCCGAGTCCTTCACAAGAAAATCCGTTATGAATATTTTCTGACGTTCAAGATATGGAGATATTTAAGAGTAAGCATCCATAAAGAATGTAGCACCATGCCCCCAATGATCCTAAGGTATTTCGTTTCACCCTTCGCTTGCGTTCGGGTGGGATGGCTAATTAGACTCGAAGATTTTCCAGAATAAGTTCTGAACGGCGTAGCACGTAACTTGGCACAGATGTAGGCGATGACAGGGCTGATGTTTTATTTACAAACTCATGTTTACAAAGCAAACTCGCTGACCAGAAGAAGGCTGAGAAAACTTTGTGAAGGTTTCTTAGACTAGGACAATTACATTAGGAGTACTACTAATTTTACTCACCTTGCGTCGGGTATGAATGTCAGATCGAGCTCAAAGCTAACTCCATGTATTATTGGCAAACTTTCCCAATTAGGCAGTTTTTGGTGCTCATTTGCAATATTTTAATCACAGGGACATCAGCAGACACTCTATTTAGGACTTCGTGAAAGTTGTAGGTCAACGACCTGAAGCTCCCCGATAAATGTCCTGCTTTTAGGAGCATGCGTCCAGCGTAGCCATTCACGGTGGCTTTAAATCGCAATATAAAAGCACCCACAAAGGTTTTCGGCCTTCTTAACCTCCTGAATGTCAAGTAAGATAACTGACTTGACATGAACTGCAGAAACTTTTTGGTTGGTAAAGGTACCTAGGTTAAACCTGATTGCGGAATCGATCTGAGGGGTTTTTGAACACCTATCTGGAGTTTGCCCTTATTTGACCGTATTTGACCCGGAGGTCACGACTCAGTAGCTTTAAACCTGTGCAGATGAGCTCACACAGAGCCCTATTTTTCTATGAATTTGGCGTCCAGCCCTCTTAGTTTTTCATCTCAGAAGGACCAATTGACCCCCTCCCCCACACCGAGCGAGTCGCCCCCACCCTGGCGCGTATCGAGACGCGATAGGGCACCTTTCTCCACTGTAGGCCGAGGTCCACCGACCGTAGGTGTTGGATTGTAGACGTTTATGGCCACGGTCTCTTTGGTTTTCTTTAAGCTGCTGTAACGTTTCTAACGTCCTCTTGCACACAGACAGGGAGTTACACACTGCCATTATCAGCATGGTATCAGGCTGCATAGACGGCTTTTCTTTAACTGGGGATGTGATTTACTCCTGACGCATACTTCAGAACAACTGCCCGTGGTTTCGAAGCTGATCGGGTTTTTTTTTTGCCCAGGCAAAAGATGAGTGATCGTAACTTGTCAATGGGCACGTTTTACGCGGACCACAATGCACGCCCTTATCCCTTATCACGCGTACGGGTGGCCGGTTGGATACCTTTCGCTCGGTTGGGGGGGTTAGTTTTAGTCCTCGATGAAATCTCAGAAAGTAAGAGAGCTAGAGACACCAAATTCACAGAGTTTGTTGGCATGTACATCACCTCACTCAGGTCAAGGTTTGAGCCTCCTAGATCATGACCTTTGGGTCAAACAAAGTCGAATATGGTCAAAACTCAAAGCTGGTCCCCAAAGTGTCCCCAGACCCCTAGATACCTCTTCTAAGCAAAAGGCCGCACGCTCATTCAGGACCAGTGACCTTGTTCAACCTTTCGAAGGTCATGGTGACTAAATTCATACAAGACTGCTTTGAGTTTTGCAGTTGAATACACGACAAAGATTAAGTTATGCAGTATGTTCCTAAAAACAGAACGTATGCCTGGGTCATTTTAGGTCGGTGACCTATTTCGAACCTTAAGAAGTCCATGGGAAATGTATGATGTGGTCTCCGTCATCAATAAACTTGAATAGAGCACTAGAAGCTACCCCGCACAGGAAGCCCAGGAGTAATAAAACCGATTGGTTTTGACCTTGGTCTGACCTCCACATCTGGCCATAGGTCAATGGAATTTGGCCTCACAGTTGTTTTCCTGCTCAAGAAAGTATCTCAGAGATGTATGGCTTTGTCTAACACTCCGTCGTTCCATCAGACCGAGCGATTCCCCTGAAATTGACTTTGCTGAGTCCATGTCTTTGACCTGCCGTAGGTCAGCGACCTTACAAGGTACATCCAATTTTCTGATACCACACGACCCACTTTTCAATTATATATAGCCATGCCAAATTTGGTGCGGCTACGCCACGCCGTTCGGAAACCATTCTGGAAAAAAACCCGGGGGTCAGTTTGACCCCACCCGAGCGCGTGTTGTAGTCGTTTGGAGAAATGTAATTCATTAACCTTTGCACCCTATCATCACTACATACTACATCGAGGAGTTCTCACCACGGCATCTTAATCCAATGATGACCACCAGCGTCCCCTTCCCGTGCTGCCCGCGGCCATCAGGCATCGTGCCTCGTCTTCCGTAGTCTGCCCCCCCCCCCCCCCCCGGCCGTCTGACGCCGCGGGCGCTCGGCTGGCAGGGGCGCCGACACGACCGTGCTGGACGCCAACCAGCGCTCGCCGTTCCACCTGGCCGTGGCGCTGGACCTGCCGAGCGTGCTGCGTCTGCTGGCCAAGCTCCGCGAGCACGTGGACAGCAGCCAGCTGACGGTGCACGGCCGGGATGCGCTGCACGTGGCCGCGCTGCTCAACCGCGCCCAGTGTGCCCGTGTCCTGGTGAGAGCCGACCGGCGGCCACGCGCCGCCCAGCGCTGGCTGACGGCGCAGGGGCCGGCTGCTGGGTGAGCTGAGCGGGGCTGGTGCAGGTTGTTTAGCTGGCCTCCGTTCTTCTTTGGTAGGGCCTGAGTGGGAGAGTGGCAAGCAAGTGCGCCAGAATGTTGGGTTTTGTCTCATGCGTCTTGCCTGATGCGCAGGCGGCGGTGTGAGTTGCGTGACGCCACATTATGTTTTCATGGTGCATTGCTGGCTTGAGCTGACAGGTGACCACTCAGTGCTCCCAAAAAGGTAGCAGATTTCCCCTTTGTGAAGGGACCTTTTGTGGTATATTGTCAGAACAGCGAAACTTGCCCGGATAGAAGGGCGAAAACAGCAATCTAGCGAATGACCCCCTGGATTTGACTCCGACCTTGGCCCTGCCACAGCTGGATGAGTTCGGCATGGTGCCCAACAAGTACTGCAAGAACGGCTTCACGCCAATTCACGAGGCTGCGCGGCGAGCCAGCTTCGAAACGATGCAAGTGTTCACCAACTGGGGAGAGACGCACGGCTGCGCGGCCGGCCGCATCATGCAGTGTACCGACATCGAGGGCAACATGCCGCTCCACCTGGCTGTCCACTCCGGCGACATCAAGGTCGGAACAGTCACTCGAGTTGGTGCAAGGTCAGATGGGTTACTCAGGTGAGATTCAGGTCAGATTAGAACGCAGGTGGCCTTAAGGTCAGAACCGTCACGTGTGCGAAATCAAGGTTAGACGGGTCACCTGGGCGACATCGAGGTAAGACAGGGCGCTAGGGTGACATCAAGAAAGAGCTGCCCTCGAGTGCAGTCAAGGCCGGACAGATCACCCAGGTGACATCAAGGACAGGTGGATCACTCGATTAGAATCATGATCAGATGGGTCGCCCGGGCAGGAATGAGGTCAGGGAGATCGCTCGGACGACATTCATGTTACGCGATTACTTTGGTGACATTGAGATCCCGTTTTTGGTCTCTTCAGCGCCATCAAGGTCAGCAGGCTACTCGGGCGTCATCAAGGTCGGATAGGTTATTCAGGTGAAATCGAGGGCAGACGCTTTAGTCGGGTGACACCAAGATCATGTCACTTACTACTGCCGACCGACGTTTTATTCACGCCGTTTTTTTTTCAAATGCCAGGACTTTTGAAATCCTTGCGAGTCCTTTGGATAGGCGGCACTCCTTGAGCCTGCTGATGGGAACGGTCTCTACCGGCGGCTGCTGACCGGACGCCCGTCTGGCCGCAGGCGGTGGAGCTATGTCTGCGGTTCGGGGCTCGGATCAGCAGCCAGCAGAACGACCTGTCGACCCCGGTCCACCTGGCCTGCGTGCAGGGCTCGCTCGACATCACGCAGCTAATGCTGGACTCGCAGGTCGGTATGCTGTCAGGACTCTGTTCGAGCTGAGTGATCCGTCGTGTTTGCCTGCTCATTAAATGTCCGGCTGAGTGATCGGGTGAAGAAACACTGGGTGTACAAGGCTCCATTTAAACTCGTTGAAAATAGCTACCTTTTGATTACTTTTCAACGCATGCCACGGCTCAACATTGGCGGCGCCGTATCTGACATTGGCGGTGCAATTCTTGGCGTGGTTTTGACAAAATCGAACCCATGTCGGTATATACTTATACTCGAAAAGATTGCCTGTGGTTTGAATTCCTTCGTCCTTCTAATAAACAGTCAACAGTCGCCAGTTCGGTGTCAGCCCATGATGAGGATGATAACCCGATGATAACTAGGCCTTACTGCAGCTTCCACGGTCTGTACTGAGACTAGACTGGTCTTCCGGCCTGTCCGGACCTATCCAGTTCACGCGTTCTTGAGTGTCATATCCAGTTCACGCGTTTGTGACCTACCCGAGTGCGGTCCGTTCACGCCGACAGCCGGAGGAGAAGTGGACAGTACTGAACCTGCGCGACTCCTCGGACATGACGCCTCTGCACTGCGCAGCCAAGTTCGACCACCCCCATCTGGTGGAATACCTCCACAAACAGGTCAGAATTGATCACCCTGTCGAGTGACCTGCGCAGATCCCATGGCTCTTCGGTGTCGCGCTACTGTCGTGTAGAACCCGTCGAAGGTCACGCCAGCACTGCGTTTCGTTCGACGTCTGGAGAAGACTAGCTTTGCTTGATATTGCATGTCATTTGGTCGTGGTCAAGACCGCGGCGTCGTGTGCCCGCGTCGTAATGGAGGCCCACGGACCGGCTGAGTCTGAACCGTTCCGATGTCTGTCGTATGTAGAGATCCCTTCCTTGTGGCGCCCCTGGCTTCTGGCAGGGGTTTGATCTGTGCCTTTTACACGGGGAAGTAAACTGATGCAAACGCGTGTTTTGCGGGCGAAACGATTGGTCTATGCAGCGGGCTGATGGAGTGCAGACCAGATGTTGGAAGAACTTTGCATGATGGGAGTGAGAAACTTTTGATGGTACTTTTTAGCCGACGTATGGATACTGGACAGTGCATACAGCATATGTTGGTGCTGCTTGTTTTGCTTGCTTTTTGTGAAAATTCATTGCTTAGTCGCAAAAAGATGCTTGCATTTTCGATGGAAAAACTAAGCGTATTTTCCTATCATACATTTTAAGCGTGAGATGACCATGCGTTAAGGGAGTCTTCCACCGTTGGGACGTCTGATCTGATCTGATAATCTGATTACTGACCTGGAGTATCACCATAGGCGGATACGATTATCACAAAATGGAGGAGACAGGCACGAACTAGTGATTTAATTGTTACGCTGTACATCATGAGAAGTCCAAGGTGCGCGGGGAAAAAGATAATCGATTTGGACCAAAAGCGGACAACGATATACTAATTCAAGTTGTCAAAGAAGTCGGGCGACAAAAACTTAAAAGGAGTAAGAACCACAAGGAACAGAAGTTGAATCGGGAAAAATTGAAGGGATAAATTTCGGTAATAACAATCAAATTGAAGAAATATGTGAAAGTCCAAGTCGAATTTAAAAAAGTCGTAAGTGTTCAAAGAAGATGAAGATAAAAGCCAGATAAGAAAATTATGCAGCGGAAAATACTGCTATGGATATTCGTCGATTTGGACGACAACAGCAGTCAAGGGGCTTTAAGACGGTGACAGTGCATGGTTCCCAATGTTGATTTCTGGCTCCCATTTCCCATTTTCGAAACGATATCTTGGATCCCTGGTTCCAGCTGGTTTTTGCATAAGCCCCACCCCCTGGTTTATAGATCCTATTGATTGTTTTGCAAACATAGCGCCCTGGTTCGTGGTTCTCTCTGGTTCTCTCGCAAATGCAAATATGACTTCCTGCTCCATATGGTTTCTTTACAAACGCCAGAACATAGTTCCTGGTTCCCATCGACTTTCCACAAGAATTAGACTCTGATCCCTGATCCTGACCGCGGTAAGGATCAGCCAAGAACGGCGGTTCTTTTACGAACACGGGCTTTAGGTCATGGTTTTCAATGGTGCCTTGGCTTCCGCTGGTGAAGCGTGTTCCAATATTTTACACCTGTCACGTTTGACCCCTTGGTATTTTGGACGGTTTTATTTTTATAGCTCCTGGTCGTTTTACTCTCCAATTTTCCAATTCGGCTTTTATCCATTTTCACTCATCGTCCTTCGACTTTTTCTGATTCGACTTCTGTGTCGGCTAAATTTTATCCTTGTCGACTTTCATCCGCATCAAATTTTGTCGTCGACTTTTTCCATCCACCTTTTCCATAAGAAGTTTTTCCATTCGGTTTTTCCATTCGGCGTTTTTGTCCGAACACGTCGCCACGCATATTACCGGCTGACCGACTACTCCTCACTTACGTCACAAGTCACCTGATCAAATCACGTGACTTCCATTAGACCGCCGCAGTTGCATTGGTCCTACGTCCTTTTCTCAGTCCGCAGCGTCCCACCTGGTGCAAAGCCTTGGAGTGCATTTGCAACGGCCCGGACAACAAAATATTTGTGCCGTCCAATCATTCATGACATAAAACCCCATAGATTCACGTCTTTTGGAGTTCGCGGCGAACCGGATTACAGAGATCACCTTGTAAAATATTTGCCAGACGCACAGAATTGATGGAAATGAGACAGAAATGGCACAACATACTCAATTATAGACAAATCACTTTGCATGTCTGGGACCGACCACGGGTGATGAAAGGTGTGTTCTACCTTACAAATAACATAATTTGCAATGTCCATTGTGGGCAGCACACATAGTACCTGCAAACAAAAGCGTTGTGTCTTTGCGTATGCAGTTGTCACCACGGCAGTTACGAAGATGTAAACAGAAACATGTCGCGCTACGACCACGTCCGGCAAAGATTCTGCATGATGTCACGTAGAAAAGAAGATGATGTGTGCACTGCGAACACATCCTTGGTTCCTGACGACCTGTTGCTGCTTGCCGACACCAGCCGTCGGCGGGGTAGGGCGTCGCGACCTGTGCCGACAGAACATTTCCTGTTATCGGTCGTCGTGTTGACCGTGCACTGTAGAGGCCCGTGGCGAGGTATTGGCACGGCCAGGGTAAACAGTTGCCGCTGAAGCTGGCAAACAGGGAACGATATCACCTGACCCTGCAGCCCGGCCAGGATGGCCATGCGCAGTTCGGTAGGGGTACTACAGGGATCTGGCCGAGGTCCGACCGAGGTCTGATAAAGGCCCAACCAAGGTCTTGCAAAGGTCCGACCGAGGTCTTGCAAAGGTCCGACCGAGGTCTTGCAAAGGTCCGACCGAGGTCTTGCAAAGGTCCGACCGAGGTCTTGCAGAGGTAAGACCGAGATCTTGCAGAAGTACGACCGAGGCCTGCAGAGGTCCGACCGAGGTCTCACAGAGATACGACCGAGGTCTGACTGAGATCCAGTCTTTATTCGGAGAAGGTTCAACTGGGACCTAGCTGAGCTTGTGGTCTGGTATGCCAGTGGCATGGTGCATGCTCCAGCGTTCCAAAATCCTCCAGTAGGGTGGGTGGGACATCAACATGCGTTGGAGCCAATCCACCGCCTCTGACCCTGAGCACAGCCATTGGACGTATTCGGCACATGTCAACCATGAGACACTTCGACGCTGGGCTGACCGGCACTCAGATCGATGGCGATGGGCCGATTTGGGATAAGAGGGAGGGGGGGGGGGGGGAGGCAACGGACGGTGAAGCCCAAGCTGGGAGTGTAATGACATAAACAAATTTATATCGGATATGAATGCCAGCCATTGGCCTTGCCGTGCCGCCGCGTGCGCAGATATGGATGGCTTTGCGCATCCGTGGTAATAAGTGAATGCAAACAGATGTCGAAGCGTACGGGGTAAGGATACAGGTAGAGTGTTGGAAAGAATGAGGTAAAGGTAAGGGGAAAGGTGGATGAGATGGTCAAGCGCGGTGGGGGCCTGAAGGACACCTTAGTGCCGCTGTAATAGAGCTGATGCGTGTATGCGTTGAGGGAGTGCAACATCTGCACTGATAGCATTAAACACCATGTTAAATGCGCTCCCATGCGCTTATGATTTTATTCATGTGAGCACTTCCGTCATGTTACGAACCCTGTTCATATTATGGTCTGCTCACACAGACTTTCCAGCGTGTCAGACACGCGTCGAAAGTAGGTGACGTCATGACGAGTGTGATATTCAATACATACCCGAGGGTGCTTAACTTGGGATCCAAGAAGGGTTGCTTGTGGCAGTTTAGGTCACACCGGGGATTAGAGATCCGCTTAATCAGCCAGAATATTCAGGACAGTATTGTATGAACGCAGCAATGTATAAGCCACCGCTAATCGTCTACAAATGTGATGGGAAGTCGTGTGCGAGGTGCTCAAACGTGCAAGTCCAACTCCTTGACCTCGTTTTATCTAAAAGACTTAACAGCGCGACCGGAAGGAAGGAAGGGGTGGAAAGCTAGCCCTGTGCGCAGTGACGATAGCTGTCGGAAAGCATGCCGCGTTTAGCAAAAATTCGACGTAGACAGATATGCGGTTTATAGCCTGGAGCACATGCACGCACGTCCGACGCGCCGAAAAAAACATCTTTATGAACAGATCTGCATGTTACGGTCCTTTCACCAAACTGCTTGGATTGCTGAGCTAGCCTTTTTGACCCTCTGGAAAAGGCAAATAGTTTTATTCTGGCAATATTTATTTATTTGTTATAGGGAGTTACGGGTACGATGGAGTAACCAAACGACTAATTTAAGGCTGCTCATTAATGCCAATTTTGGTCTGTCCGAATGGGACTGGCGTCGGACGGACGAGATCAGACCGAGTCCTACGGGCATCCCAGCTGAAGCGAGCCACCGCCCACCGATATCCAGCGCGCAGGTCACGAGCGGCGGCCCATCCCCAGCCCGCCGCACCCTTGACCCGGAGGGTCGGTGGTCGGGAGTGTCGACAGCTCTGCTTAACAAACCTGGTCACGCAGCACCCCGCGGAGGCGACGCGGGCTATTGGGTGGGGGGGGGGGGGGGGCGGTCGGCTGCCGGGTCTTGATTGCTCTCCGCGCAACAGTGTGCCCGTCGCGAGCATGATTGCTCTCTGGCCGCCTGCAGATCCGCCAGCCGTCAGAAGCGGCTAGCCCCAGAGGCGTGGGCAGGAGGGCGCAGGGAAGGCCTGCAGGGGACCCACCCGCCCAAACAAACACGTCCGACTCAGCTCAGTGGGCTAGGGAGAAAAAAACGCTCAGAATTGCCTCCTGTTCTTCGCCGGACCGCCGCTCTGCTTCAATTTTTGGTCGTCGCGCTGCTGATTGGTCGCGAGAGGCTGCGCGCCGCCGCCTTTTGCTGACGCTGAACAGGCCGGCGGTGGGCTGCGAGCGGACGCCGGCACACCGCGCTCGCCGGCGGCAGAATGCGTCCTGATTGCCGCCGCAGTGGCTGCGGCATTGACGAGCTTACGCTGACTCCAGATGAAGGAATGGTCGTTGGTTTGCGAACTGCCGTCTTGGCAGACGCGTACTCGTGATTTTTGTAATGCGACTATATTTCGCAAGTGTTCTGATTTGTCGGTAACGGAATTCGGTGAGGATCCTTCCTGTCGGATTTATTATGATGTTTATTTAAGATATATTGTTTTATTGTGCGTATATATATATATATATATATATATATATATATATGCATGATATAATCATGCTAAAATGGTCTAAACCATCATAATGTGTGATTTATGTTTCAACTTGAGAATTGTGGTGAGTCCTGTCGAGGCCGTCTCCGAACAAAACGGAAGTGACGGACACAGATAACACCCAGTAAAGGGTGCTTAAACTATATGAAGTACACACTTAACTATCTACGGTGGAGGGTCGTCGGAACTTCATCGCTCATCTTCAGGGTGTCAGCTGCCAACTTGACTCAATCTTTCTGACGGGACACACAGACACGGCCTCACCTTTCGACGATAGCTGGCGGGGTACTGACATAACCTCACTAACCTCTGGCAGGGCGCCGACCTGAACGTGCTGGACAGTGAGGAGCGCACGCCGCTCATGCTGGCCGTGCTACGCTCGTCGTGGAGCGCTGCCCGCGTGCTGATCCAGCTGGGGGCCGAGGCGCACATCCCGGACCTGGGCGGCCGCAACCTGCTGCATTTCCTCGTCATGAACAGCGGCCGCGTGGACGACCTGCTCAGCGCGAGCCCGGTGAGCCTGCTGCGTGCCGCTCGGAGCTTCTGCCCCCCCCCCCCCCCCGCTGCGGTCACCACCCCACTTCCCTGCGCCGTTACCTGCCCTGCAGCTTGAACAAAGTCCGCTGGGGTGTGCCCGCAGTCTGTGAGTTGTGAGGTGATTTCCGTTGTGAACTCGTGCACGCTGTGGGCCAGCCTAACTCTATGGGGTTCACTTGGCTTTCTCCACGCGTGAGCAGGCTATTTAGTTTTCTACTATCCCTTTCCGGCTATCCTGCTTGCTAAAATAGCAAGTGACTGTGGGCATTTATGATCGATAACGCAATGGTTCCACATGTGCATTTCGTTTGCATTTGTTTGGAACGCGTATGTTGGCCGCCTCACCTGTCTGCCTCAGTTCGTCGAAGATGCCGGTAAATCGATGCATCGCCACTCTCAGTGACGCCTTCCGGCCGGCACGCGCGTCTGACCGCAGCGCATCTGCCCCGCTCGAGCCGTCAGCGGCAGCCTCCCTCGCTGTGCATGTGTCACCAGCCGGGCGTCAGCCGACGTGCGTCCGCCTGCGCCGCCAGAAGGGACAAGAGGTGTTCGCGCGGATGATCAATGAGCAGGACGGCGTGGGCTGCACGCCGCTCCACTACGCCTCGAGGGACGGCCACATCCGCTGCCTGCAGCGCCTCATGGACCTCGGCGCCTGCCCCAACGTTAAGGACGTCAACAACGAGAGTCCCCTCCACTTCGCCGCCCGGTACGGTGACGTGGCGCGCGGCGGGCTAGGACAGGGCGGGGGGGGGGGAATGTTTGGTAAAGCGTTAGCCGATAAAAGGTGTTGGAGCGATGCTGGGAATGACAACAGTCAACCCAGGGCAAGCTCAGTATAAACAATACGGTGCTGAAAAAAACAAGACAGAGCTGAACAGGGAATGTGGAGCAGGCAGTAAGGATGCTGCAGCGTCACAAAATACGGCAGAGCACTAGCAAGCACCTCAGAACGCTGGTTGTCGGCCGGTGCAGCGGAAGGGCATGGTACCAACCACTGCCGAATACCCATTAGTTGATGTATCGCCGGGCAAGACAGAGGTCGAACAGACACTAAGCATCCGTGTGTTTTTTTATGGGAGGGGCAAGGGTAGGAAGTGGAACGGAGCGCGCATACATAGGTGGGTCATAAACACTGTGTGCCATAGGTGGCATATGGGTTTCCGGTGTCATATTGATTGGCATCTGAGCATACGACAATGAGGAATACGCTATCTTAGGCGTGCGCGATCACAGCCGTCCAAGGCTGCAGATAAGATATAAACACAGATAAGATACAAACACAAAGGCTGCAGATAAGATACAATACACACGCCCTGCAGATTTTCGTTCCGAAGGCTCAGTTGATTGGAGCGCAGGCTGTCAGATTCACCGGCCCATGGTGGGTGGGTTCGAGTCGCTTCAGACTTCGTTATTTGCTCCTGGCTGAAGTGGTCCGCGGCCATTTTGGTAGCGGCCGCGCGAAAAGTCAGGTGGTGTCAGAAGGCAGGACAGACCGTACCGAACAATGCGGTTCGTTGGGCTTTTGCCGCAGAATTGTGCCGTTGACTCGCGATCTCACGATCGGATTGAGGAGTCGGAGCCCACGCAACATGCACTGCTCAGCGGGCCGCCGATCCCAGAAATTAATCCAATCAAACGGTTTGGGTTAGATCTTTTAAAAAATACCGCATGACGATCAGCACGTATGGCCACCGGTCGTACTGTGTACGCGTCCGATGGCGTTGTTTCAGCTTCGGTCGTTACAACACGGTCCGGTCGCTGCTCAGTTCCCGCAAGGGTCAGTTCATCATCAACGGCATCGACAGCGCCGGCCGCACGCCGCTGCACATCGCCAGCGAGAACGGTGCGGCGCCGCCACACCGGTCCGCTGAGAGGGTCCCGCCCACTCCGCTCTGGCCTCGGTCCCGTCTGAGTGCGGCTAATGGCTCGGAGCGTCACCGTACAGTCATGACTTGTGCATGCTGTGGTGATATTGCGCTAGGGAGCGTGCGTTCTACGCTGAAGGTATAGTTTGTTTGGTGAAATGCGAGATGTACTAATGTAAAATGCACGATGATGATGCACGAGATGTGCGAATGTACGAATGTAAATGCGAGAATCGCGCAGCAAACTGTAGCCAGAACAGATATCGTTGTGTTATTGAGGGGTTAAGAGGCTGTAAATCAAGACCTCTGGGCAGAATGCTCCCAGCGCTGATGTGCGGTCACTGCCATCTGACCGGTGATGAGTGAGCTGCCTCCGGACCCAGCCCGGTGGCGCGTGTCTGTCCCGACTTGTGACGCCGCCAGCTGACCCGCGGCCGCGCGGCGCCGCAGGTTACGCTCGCGTGGTGCAGCTGCTCATCAGCCGCGGCGCGCTGCTCAACCGCGACTTCGAGGGCCTGACGCCGCTGCACTTGGCAGCGCGCGAGGGCTACACGCACACCATGAGCCTGCTGCTGGCCACGCACACCCAGCTGCTGGACCAGCGAGACAAGACTGGGGTGAGGGGCGCTCATCCGGGGACCCCCGGCTAGTCGGCGGGGTGCGGGTCAGAGTGAGGCGTGCTAGTCCGAGGACCTCTGGCCAGCCAACGGGACGCGGCCGGGGTGGGAGCGTTCTACCAAGGACCACAGTTCAGCCGGCAAGGCGCGCCCCAGGTTGAGGAGCTCCGTCCGAGGACCCCGGTTGGTCGGCAGGGCGCGGCCGTAGCCGCCCTGCAGTCTGACACGCGCTTTGATCGGGATGTGAGAGTCCAGTCGCGGTGTTTGTGAATGCGGGTGAGTGCGTGGTCGGGTACCCCCTGGGATGGGCATGTCACGAACTGCCGCTCCGCATCCTGCCATAGTTAGGCTTGGATTTGTCATTGCCGACAACAGTGGCAGGTATTACCGCGACGTCGAACCGAACCAACCATAAAACACTCCACCGGAGAAGAGCAGATCGAACCAGTGCAGAGCCGGGTTTCAAGTCGTGCGCAGTCCGAGTCACAGATAACTTCCGTCCAGTGTACGGCGCTGCATCTGGCCTGCCTGGCCAACAAGCCGTCCGCCATCAACCTACTGCTCTCGCTGAACTGCGAGCTGACGTCCAACAACGAAGGCTACACGGCAATGGATTACTGCATCAAGCTCAAGCTGGTGGAGGCCGCCCGCGCCATGGTCACCAACGACCCCTCCAGGTGGGCAGGTGGCGCCTCCGTCGCCGCTTTCAGCGCGGGCTGGCCGCTCGAAAGATGTTCGAAAGATGATAGCTGTTGGTGAGATGTTGGGTGATGGGATGGGACGGTTTGATTAATGAAAGGAATGGAATGTGTGTTCACGAGTGTATTTCTGTTCCCCTGTAATATGTGAAATCGAAAGATATGAGGTATGGGAGATGCAACGCGTCGAATCTAAAATATGTCGCGTTCATGGCTACCTGACTACAAGCAGCTATATATGGTTCCGCCCTGTGTTGCATCCCACACAGCACACTAGCCTGCGTTTTCTGCCAACATCTGTAGCCGGACTGTGCAGTCTCGGCCCGCCACCCCCGGACAATATCTGTAGCCAGACTGTGCAGTCTCGGCCCGCCACCCCGGGACCCACGAGCCTCCACCAGTTCAATGTTGTCGAAACTTCCGTTGATGCTGGCACGGTCTAAACCAGGTACAGGCGCCACTGGATCAACATGGCATATTTTCGCAGTGACCGTGTTTTGAACGACGTCAAAGGCAGTTACAAGAGCATAGTGTTAGCCCTGATCGAAGGCATGCCGAAGGTCCTGGAGGACGTCATGGATCGCCACATCATATTCGCCAACTGCAAGAAAGACGCCGAGTCGTTCTTCGTGAGTACGACATCGAAGTTTATCGTATGTATTGCTAACTCGCCGGCTGGCCAGAACAGTGCTAAGGGCAGTGCCCTCGTGCATATGTATGAGCTACGATGTCACCCAAAGCATGACAGTACCTCGCGATGTCTCTGGAATGCGCCGTGGCGTAATGTACAGAATGTAAACATGACAGCGACGCATTAGATTTAACCCCACGTCACGTGCACATGTCTGCGACGATGGCACCAAACAGGTCGTGAAGTCCTTCCCGTGTATCGTTATGGCGGACCCATATGCCGGCACTTTTCCTCTTCACTGCAGATCAAGTACGACCTTACCATGTTCGAGCCGGAGGAGAAGCGCATCCAAGCCATCCGCGAGGCCCGCGGCGACAGCAAGTGGCGGCCCGAACCGCTTCGGGCCGTCAACGTAAGTCGGAGGGAGGGCAGAGCTCGAGCGTGTACGTGAGAGTGGGGGTGAGAGTGGGCAGGCGAATGCGAGCTAGAGAGAGCGTGCAGAAGTTTGAGCTTCTCATGGATGTGAATCTCATCCAGCACGGGCCGATTTGTTGGACCGGATTCGCCAAACATCGACCGGTGGTTACCAGGAGCCCTGCGGTGTCTAGCTTCACGCGCTTGGATGGCACGGCGGCGGACCGCGGCAGCTACAGGGCCTGGTCCCAGGCAATTACACCATCGCAGACCGTCAGTTGGCCTTTAATGGCAGCGGTTCGGTCCTCGCGCTGCTGATACGGCGTCTGGTGGCCTAGGGTAAGACCAAGCATCAACCTCTGAGGGTTTCAAATAGCATGACCAGGTCAGTGCAATTTCCCGAACACCAAACTTCGGTAGATGTATCTGCTTTCATCTGTGGGGAGGGGGGGGGACACGACTCCGTTGGCACATTCCGAATCTCCGGCGCCTCGTGCCGTGATGTCACTCTGATCGTGGTGTCCCCGCCTGACAGCACATGGTACGTCACGGTCGGATCGATCTGCTCATGCACCCGCTGACCCAGCGCTACCTGGTGATGAAGTGGCAGGCCTACGGCCGCTTCTGCCACCTGTTCTCACTCCTGCTATACGCCATCTTCGTGTTCCTTGTCACCCTCAACGCCATGAACCTGATGCACCTGGTGCGCAAGTGCCCCGTGCTGCTGGATGAAAACGGCAGCGTCAGGATCCTCAAGGCCGATGTGGGCAACATCACGCGAAGCGAAGATGAGGACAACGGTGGCGGGCAGGACTTCTGCGGTCGATCCCTGCAGGTGAGACGAGTTTGAGGAAGATGATAGTGGCACGTTATTTTTAGCTGGGCGTATGGATATTTTATGACCCAGCATAACAATCTGAACACACTTACCAATCAGTAAAAGCACAAGATCAAACCCTGTTAGAGGTACGGTTCACACAATGCGCCATCGTGGTGTAGTCGTTACTGTATTATACCGGCATTTCAGATGTCAGGGTTCCATTCCCGGTAGGAGGTTATTTTTATTCCCATATTTCCTGCTATATAGCGAAGAATATCGCTAAGGTGCAAAATGGCCAGAGAGTGTCCCACCGAAGCTGGCGTAGCGAAGTAAGCAGCCGTACACAAACAAAATAGTAATAATACAGCAAATATTAAACAATGCTCTCTTCGGACGCATTCAGAAGCGCAGACATCACGCGTGAGGTGCCCGTGTAATTGGGTCATGTCTGGGGGGCACTTCAAAGGCCATAATCGAGCTGGGATGGTACGCATACGTCGATAAGTGCGTGGCATAGTTTCGCTCAGAGTCATATGTTTGCATGCTATGTTAGCAGGCGTTCGTGTCGGAGGAGACGTCGATCTGGAGCTCCATGATCATGGTGGCCGTCATTGTGTTTGGCATTCTGAACCTGCTGAAGAAAATGCTACAGATGTGGAACCAGAGCTGGAGTTTCATCAAAGGTATTTCGCTAATTCTGGCATTGCCAGCAGGAATTCGAATGCTTCTAGTCATGGAGAGTGTTTTATGAGGTACATGCAGTTGAAAACAGACAAAAAACGCAGCACAAGCTATCAACACTTAGCGATCAACGCGCACCACCTAAAAACTTTCACCTTTCATGTTAATCGTGGCGGTTGGGTTCACGAGAGTGACGCCCACCTCACAAAACTTTCACCTTTCATGTTAATCGTGACGGTGGGGTTCACGAGAGTGACGCCCACCTCACAAAACTTTCACCTTTCATGTTAACCGTGGCGGTGGGGTTCACGAGAGTGACGCCCACCTCACAAAAATTTCACCTTTCTTGTTAACCGTCGCGTTACGAGAGTGACGCCCACCTCACAAAACTTTCACCTTTCATGTTAACCGTGGCGGTGTGGTTCACGAGAGTGACGCCCACCTCACAAAACTTTCACCTTTCATGTTAATCGTGGCGGTGGGGTTCACGAGAGTGACGCCCACCTCACAAAACTTTCACGTTTCTTGTTAACCGTCGCGTTGGGGTTCCCGAGAGTGACGCCCACCTCACAAAACTTTCACCTTTCTTGTTAACCGTCGCAGTGGGGTTCACGAGAGTGACGTCCACCTCACATAACTCTGATTCGTGCCACCAGAGTTTGACAACTACCTGGAGCTGGCCATGTACGTGTCGGCCCTTCTGAGCGTGACGCCCGTGTTCTACCCCGAGGTCAGCCACTGCCACATCATTGCGGCCGCCATCGCCGTCTTCCTGGCCTGGTACAACATGCTGCTCTACCTGAGAAGGTGCGCGGCAGTTGGGCTGCTACTGATCAGCGGCTTAGTCACGCATCGCACGCGCATGTTCGATGTGCGCCTGTGTGTTCGGGCACACATGGGCGGCGCGCTCGAGCACTTGGGCGCAGACAGACAGGCGAGGCAAACATCCCGAGCAGAACCTTCGTGAGTGAACTCTGCGTTCGAAATGTCAATGCGCTGAATCGTGCAGCGCACGCTTTGAACTCTTTGTGTCTTGAATCCCGTGGAGAGGGCTGCGAGATACCGGCTCTTTCCTCTGTTGAGTGCGAGACAATGCTCGCCGTGCGACGGCTGTAGGCGTCCCACGGACTGTGAGCGTGCAGTGCCGGGTGTCACTTCGCGTTAGGGTGACACTGTTCGTGCGGTGTCCGCACTTGACACAAGCGAGTCACACGTGAATCCGGTCTCCACTCAGCTTCGAGTCGGTCGGAATATACGTGGTGATGTTCGTGGAGATCCAGAAGACCCTGCTGCGGGTGCTCGTCATCTTCTCGGTGCTCATCATCGCCTTCGGCCTAGCTTTCTTCATTCTGATGTCGAGCGTGAGTACACGCCTCGGCCCTGGACAGATGGTGCCGGTAGCCAGCGCGGAGCGCTGCGTTACTCTCGTCCAAATCGCTTGGATGTCCTATGGGAGCAGAGCTGGACCACTTTAGCACAAGCATTTGAAGCTGAAGCATGCACGAAGAGTGCCCTTAAACCACGCCTCCGAAGTGTTCTACCTACGAGGGGTGTTCTTAAGTGGTGAGTACTTTCGTCACTTTCAGCTATAACTCAAATAACTGAAGACCACAGTATGTAGATACGGTTAGTTTTAGGAGATCAAAGCTCTTGTGCTGAGTTAAATACCCTCAATGTATCAGGAGGTGCTAGCCAAACGACGTGATAGTGCAAAACAGTGATTATTTTGGCAGTGCGTAGTATTTCAAGCTGTGCTTACCTTTGCTCAGAGGGATGAGCACAGCTCGGAATATTGAGCATCGGCAATCTAATCGTTGTTTAGCACTATAACGTCGTTGAACCCTTACCTCTTGATCTATTGAACGTCTTTAAATAGGCTCAAGAACTTTGAACTCATAATGCCTAAAACCCAGGAACTGAAGGCTTTTCGTTCTTATGCCAGATACGGTTGGCTTATCTCATATAAGAAAGAACATTTTTGTATTTGATACTGCGGTTTCTGTTGTACAGTTCTCGTTAGGCTTTTATGTTGATATAGACTATTACTGATACTGATGCATTTCTGTTGAAAAGAAACCTTGATCTGTGTATAAGCACAACGTTTACACATTGAGGATCATGAAATCCATGTTTATGAAATGGCCGAGCTGTTCACTGGCTTTTTCTAATCCACAAGTTGTGCAGTGTATTTGCGGGGAACATGCACGTAGATAGGACAGTAGTAATAACCTCATTCATTGCAGAGAAACCAGAAAAATGGAGATATAGACGCGTTGGTAGTTCAGCAACATGGCTTTATCTTCTGCTATTCTGCCTTTTTATTTCTGGTATCGGCATCGACAAAAGCATGCTGTCGATATATCAACGCATCTATAGCTCCATTCTCTTGATTTTCCCCCAAGGAATATGGCTATCACTACCGTGTTTTCTGTAAATCCCCCTCAATTACTTTGCAATCGCTCCGAAGAGCTCCAATCGCACCCTAACGGCGTGTCGCGTATTTCGTTGCCAGGGCAACCATCCGGAGTTCAGCAGCGTATCCATCTCGCTGGCGCGCACGTTCAACATGATGCTGGGTGAGATCGACTTCCTGACGGTGTACGTGTACCCCTGGCTGGCGCCTCCACAAAACACCAGCGGCGTCGGCCTGGTGGCACCAAGCGGCGGTGGCGGCCGCCGGGCCGGGGGCCACCTCATCCAGCAGCGAGCCGCGGTTGGTAACATCACAGCACCACTGGTCCCCATCAGGTGCGTATGCTCAAGGGCACGGCCGTACCGTTCGCCGCTGCCGGGCGGATACGCTCAGGGAAATATTGCACATTTTTTTCTATTTTCCTTTGTTTTACTCGAGAGTGCGACGCTTGTCGTCATGCCTCTTTTTATTTGTCATACAGCGTCCAGGGCATCATGGTGCAAACGGGATTCGAACCCGGGCTCCCATCTGAGTGTCCGAGGGTAGATAAGTGCGGCAGTTCAGGTGTCTGAATTTTAGTCCATGATTCTCAGAAACTGGCACGGAGCTGATGAGAATTTCCGTGCAAGTGTGTGCGCATGTGAACAGAGGGTGAGCTTATAAAGTACGGGGAAGTTCGGCTATCACCTCCTGATGTTTGGACTACCCCAATGTAACTGAAGAGTTGATAAGTAAACGTCCATGTAAGAGCACGTTCTTCTAGATGACCAACTTGCTGTCTAGTTTTCAGCGTGGCCAGGATTTCAGAAAGACACGCATAGACCGGTGCTAGGGAATCATTTTTCATCATTAATATTTGTAACTTGTCATACAGCCGTTGTTGCCTGACACGTTTACTGGTTAGCAATTTGCCGCCCACACCTGTCCCGAGCCCGGAAGTGCTTTCCTCGGAACAAACGGGAAGCCACACTATTACGGGAAGAATTGTTTTGCATGCGTTATGCAGGTGGTGATAACGGACATGTGTTATGCGGGTGGTGATCACGATCATGTGTTATGCGGGTGGTAATCACGATCATGTGTTATGTGGGTGGTGATCACGATCATGTGTCATGCGGGTGGTGATCACGATCATGTGTTATGCGAGTGGTGATCTCGATCATGTGTTATGCAGGTGGTGATCACAATCATGTGTCACGTAGGGGGTGATCACGATCATGTTTTTCACCATACACACATCACACATAGCTTGGTATGTTTCATGTAACATGTATGTGGATCCAGTGGCGCAGTACCATGGATGAAATGCATAGCTGCTGCTTTTCGGCATGAGCAAACTCCCGACTCCTGCCGGCAGCGGTCTGGGCAAGCGGTTCCTGCCGTTCGCCAACATGTCGTTACTGCTGGTGATCGTGTTCATGGTGATGATGCCGATCCTGCTGATGAACCTGCTGGTCGGCCTTGCGGTTGGTGACATTGAGGCCGTCAGGAAGAACGCCGCGCTGAAGCGGCTGGCCATGCAGGCAAGCACACCTGGCGGACGGCAGTCGAAACACGGTCATCTGCAGCAAGATCGGGCCTGCATTCTCGTCTCGAATTATTGTTTAACACGCGCTCGGGTGGGGGGTTGAATTGACCCCCCCCCCCCTCCCCAAGGTTTTTCCAGAGTGGTTTCCGAATGGCGCGGCGTAGCCGCGCCAAATTTCGCAGAGCTGTAGACCATTGAATAGCAGATCGTTCGGCGTAAAACATTTAGATGTGTCTTGTAAGATCGCTGACCTATGGCAGGTTGATGTCAGGCCATGGTTTCAGCGAAGGCAGTTTTTAGGGAATCGTTCAATCTGATAGAACAACGGAGTGTTTGACAAAGCCATACATCTCTAAGATGCTTTCTTAGGCACCACAAATATTGAATGAGCAAATTACGCTGACCTAAGGTCAGGTATGAAGGTCAGACCAAAGTCAAAACCAACTTGATTTATTGCTCTAGGGCTTGCTCTATGAGATAGTTTCTGGTGCTCATTTCTAATTTATTGACAGCATGAACCGCATTATACATCTTCCAGTGACCTCTTAGAGGTCAGAATAGGTCATTGACATAGGCTAACACGGGTCGACATTTGTTTTAGGAACATACTGCCTAGCGTTATCTTTGTCGCTTATTCAAATGTAAAATTCAGAACAGTTCTTTATGATTTTGGTCACCATGACCCTCAAAAGGTCAAACAAAGTCACTGACCTCAAATGGGCTTTTGAACTTTGTTTAGAAACAGTTGCCCAGGTTCTGGGGGTATTTTGAAGACCAACCTGGAATTTGACCTCGCTTGACCTTATTTGACCTGTAAGTCATGACCTAGGAAGCTCAAACTTTGACTTAAGTGAGTTCACGTACAGGTTAAGACACTGTAAATTTGGTGCCTCTAGCTTACTTAGTTCCCAAGATCTCAGCAGGTCAAATTGACCCCCCCCCCCCCCCCCACCGGAGTGCAGGGTATCTAGCCGGCCACCCGGGAGCGTATAAAGCCAAAATTGGTCTCGAGTTCTCGTTAAAGTCAGGTCGCCCATGGTATAAAGACCAAACAAGTAACAATGTAAAGCAATGAGAACAATTTGGTATCAATTGTTATGTTTTCATTGTGATTTCTCTACTTACGCTGTTTTTTTTAGAAATGCTGCAACATCCGGTCGGCTACGGCACTGGTTTTTCCTGAATCTTTCTTGGGTCTACCCGCTGATAGGGGCTGAGGGCTTCGATCTTCGTCACTGTTTCCCTGCTAATCTTGACTGCGGTCCGCCAGGTTGACCTGCACACGGGTCTGGAGCGTAAGCTGCCGCAGGCGTTCCTGGAGCGCGTGAAGAAGACAGAGGTGATAGAGTACCCGAACACGCGAACTTGCTCCAAGGGCTCGTCGGCCGCCCCGCTGACTAGGCTGCTCCGGTTCTTGCTCTACCTGATCACGCCCAGCCATGGCACCCACATGAAGACCATCGGTAAGTCGTGATACCACCGGTCATGGGATCCGCATGAAGACAATCGTTAAGTCGTGATACCATCAGTCATGGGATCCACATGAAGACCATCGGTAAGTCGTGACACCACCAGTCATGGGACCCACATGGTGGCCATCGGTAAGTCGTGGCACCATCAGTCATGGGATCCACATGAAAAGCATTGGTAAGTCGTGACACCACTAGTCATGGATCCACATGAAGACCATCGGTAAGTCGTGACACCACCAGTCATGGGATCCACATGGTGGCCATCGGTAAGTCGTGGCACCCTCAGCCCGTCCGGCTTACTTTGTGGTGTTACTGTTGGTTGGTACTGTTGTTGGTACTGTTCGTTACTCATGAAGCTTGAGAGCTAGCTTTTACACGGCCAGATGGATCATCGTTGTATGCGACATCGGGCGAGTGGCAGGGACGTTGTCATGGGCGCCGCCAGGCCGATTCCCCCGCTGGGATTGCTGCTCATGCTGCTGAAGTCTCCCATCCCACATGCAGCCCACCGCTCAATACCATCAATATGTTTGTGTGTTTTGTCTGTGCGCGTGCCCATAGCGAATGGCAATGTGCACAGCAGCACTACTTAAGGCGTCCTTTACATTATATTTGTTTCACTCGAACCACCTGTTTGCACACCTGCCTCAGCCTACCTATATCCTTTCAGACTACCTGGAGGAGGCGGCCATCGCCGAGCAGAACCAGCAGTATCAGCAGCTGGACAAGCTGAAGCGTCGACTCAAGGAGACCTCCTGCACCGTCGAAACCATCCACAAGCTGATGCGACTGGTCGTCACCAAGATGGAGATCCACATGGAGGCGGAGGATGAGGACGAGGGTGGCGACTCAGAGCGAGCGCGGTCGGCGCTGCCAGCGTCGGCGGCGGCCGGGCGCGCGCGCCCCTCCACCATGCTCAGCGCGCCGTCGCAGCCCTCCAGCCGGTTGACAAGCCCCTCTGTGCGCCGCCTTGGTTCGCACCGCTGGCCCCTGTCGTCCGACCGGGACGGCTAGACGGCGCCGGCGCGGCAGCGGCTGGCGCTGACGGCGCGGTCAGGCCGGCCAGCAGGCGAGCGTCGACGCAGGCGGGGAGATACGTCTCTCTTCGACAGGAGAATGTGCTGGAGCTGGCCGTGAACATGCTGAAGTCACGGCTGCACGGCAATAATCAGACAGGGGGCTGATAGAGCGAAGCAAGTAAGCAACGAAAACGGCCGTGATGTCCTCGGTTTTGCGCGCTCTGAATATTGTCATTTGCCCAGGCGTCGTTTGGCGAAGCTAGACTTATAAATACGGCCACAGGTGGCACTACTCTTCTGTTTCACTCGCCCGTTTTGGGTCCGTCTAGATGCATCAATGAATATTACACGCAACTCAAAGTATTGCATCTGTTTCGCCGTATCATCGCGGACGGTGCGGAGGTCTGAGTGCGTCCAAAAGGCATGCAAAATTCCTAACGTGATAGGAAATGGCCATTCATGTATGCTGTAGGCCGCTGGCTGGATTTTCACGATAAAGTAGATGGCACCGATGTTGTAACCAAAGCGTTAGGAGGGGTGGTATTCTGGAGCAGAGCATATCCTGGAATGGGTTTGTCGGAGTAGTGAATGGTTAGTGCATGTGCATGCTGTGTGCGCGTTTACATGTGCAAACAGCGGTGTTCTGAGTTCAGGCTACCTCGCTTCCATTGTGTTCCACTGTGTATCTGCCTTGGATGTCCCTGCCTGGTGAACACCATACCACATGTTTACACGCTTGCCGTAGCTCGTGAGTATGATGACGTCATGCTTTGGCCGAACAGCTGGAAAGACAGGAGCCAACGTTTGTAGAAGCACCATCACCACTGACCGCAGATGACCCGTATGACCGTAATTGGCCCGGAGGACGCTGTTGGTGACATGTGTTTGGTGATGTGCACTTAAGGAGAGGGTTTTAGGAGGCGGAATGGAATGTGTGCAGATGCTTATTCCATGCGCGTTGGCCATGCTGGACATTGGACCAGGATCTGTACCCGGAGTGATACGCGTAGAATGGTGCGGGGAACCTAAAGTGATTGTACCAAATGTGCACGATAAGGCAAGATCTGCCCCGGCCGATCTGGGCAGTACGCTTTGTACTCAATCCGGTCTCAACTCTAGAACGATCTCTGTTTTGTGCATGATAGGACCGAACGGTTAAAAAGCGCCGTAACTATATTTTTAACTATATTTTTGTGGGGGATTTTGCTTTCAGTTCTGCGGAATTGTGTTCAGCGTTGGCTGTTAGATATTACCTTAAGCACCGCAATAACTACACCGAATATTGCAACAAGCGTTTTTATTTTGGCAGTGGGACCCATGAAGTTCCAAGACTAACCGGCTGATTTTATACAAAGGCCCAAATGTGCTTTGACTAGACATGTTTTGAACATGTCGTGCCAACTGTCGGAGTCGACTACCCACCCAATCTCGGCTGGCTTAGAATAAGTTAAGCCGGCTCCACGAACTTATGATGAAATCATAACGCCCAATTTAAAAACCCACTTCATTTAAGATGACTCCAGAGGTGGGCAAAGCTATGCCTAAACTTTACTTCCAGTAAAGTCAATCCGTTAACTGAATAGGTTAATTTAGTTAAAAGTTGACGTGCGCCCGGGCGATGGTGAATGCGACGGGCTCGGACGAGTGGAGGTCAGTTTGGACCCCTGGGATTTAAAAACTAGGAAGATTTTAGGGGCACTATTCCTAGGCTACGCAGGCCTTATGCGAATCGCGCCCTCCTCTGGATGACTCGGAGTGTTGACCTTATATTGTTATTTTCCTCTCTGTTTTCTTTTGTATTCCCCCACAACCGTTTGTGATTTGCCCTTGCATGACAAAACAAAAGCAAAAGGATGCGGTGTGGTCGCTTCTGTATGACTTGGGGATCTTCCGTTTTGATCGGAGATGCAAAATCAACTCTAAATTAGCAAACCGTTTTGCTGGCGGGGCCGTTTGCTTGAATCGCTTAATGGATGGCTTAAAGTTTAAAGCTTAACGACCAGGCCGTCTAAATCATGGGGTCTACTCTACGCCATACGTCTAATCTACGCCCTGGTCTGTTCGGGTAGCTTGAGCTGGAATTTTGTTGATGTTCAGGAAAGATTCCCGGGCGCACGTCCACACCGGTCACTTGCAGTAAAGTTTGCATCATATCGGGCACTCCCAACAGCGCTCAAGTCCACGGCTTGGCCATTTCTCTGAATTCTGGACGTCAAAATTAGTTTACATGTTATGGACAGAAATTTTTCATCTATTTCATTTTCCGACGTCATTTTGTGACGTTCATTTGCCACGCATAACATGACGGCACAAACTATAGCTAGTCACTAAGGCTCATTGTCAGCACTCCTAGAATGGACCCCGTGACATGCTATATTGGAATCCGTATCGGGACACCTGACAAGCCGATGCCTCCATCTGGGAGTCCAGCCAGGGAGTCCAGGGAGTCCAGCTGTCTCCACTATAGTCTCACTGTCTCCGAGTCATAGCGCCTATGACTCTGACTTAGCATACATGCGGTGCAGAAGGGACGCATCGAGCCTCTGATTCAGGCCTGGGCTTGAAATGCTGTTCTAATGCGCAAGAAGACATGTTTCAATCCAGCTGCCGATTCAGGAAGTCGTGACCAGTGACTGACAATCAGACCACACTCATGACGCCGTCTCTTGACTCCATGCTCTGACTTATGTTTGTCTTATTTCGTCTGTTTGCGTCATTAGCGCTACCTCGATAGACTTTGTAAATGTGCTTTCCTTGTATGATGGCTCGTGTTAAGCCAGCGTGGTGTTATGTGGATGTTGTCAACGATGGATCGGGCCATCTTGAGAAATAACTGTAATGTTCACACTCCAGCCGCTCTCGTATTGGCACTTTTACCTTCGTTGCCTTTCGTTCACTCTTGTTCGGTCTCGTGTTATCTGCGTTGACGCTGCTGCGGTAGTTTTTTCACAACTTGCGACACGGGTGGAGTTTAGGCTCCGATGGAGTGTAGTCGGCGGCAGTTTTCGCTGAGACATACGTCATAAGCCCATCACGGTCCTCTATGTCACACGCGGACCGCACAACGCCAGACTGTGTGGGTCCCGCAGACGGACCACCCTGCCGTGGGGACAACGTATTAATCTTCTGTAGAAAACTGGAACGGCCAATGCAAGTCCATTCAAACGGCTAAGGTCCGTCAACAGCTTTGTGATGTGGTGGCTGGACAGTCAGCTGTAAAGTGTCTGACGAAGCTGAAGCTTGGCGCGGCTCACAGCTTATCTCGCGATCAGACTTGGAAGAAACGGCTTCAATGGAACGCCATTTGAGTGAGAGCCTGCAATGTAACAGCTTCAGTTTCTGTCGATCCTATCCCTTCAGTCCCTGTCATTGTCTTACACTGTCGATCAGCCAATCGTTGTTCATCGTGCTTCGTGTTTGCTGCTGCACAGTGGATGCAAAAAAATACAATACTGTGTGTCCCACCGACTTTGGATGCCGAATGCCCCGCATCAGGCTGTGACCGGTGGGCACCGATTCGGCGCTCTGAGTTCTAGTCATGCGAGTAGTGGGCAGAAATATCAGCGCTGTTCGCACCTCCTCATTTAGGAGGTGCGAACAAAATGGCAACTCAAAGTTCTGGTCTATGTAAACATACGAGTGGATCTCGCATCGTAACACGGCGCGCGGCTTCGCTTCGTGCTACATTATAAATTGATCAACGTTTCGACCATGAACCGATTTCATAAATATTTGGAACTCCTTTTCATGATGATTAGACTGAAAAATTCATTTATCTGTCCAGGAGACGCAGGCGAATGTTCAGCCACCACGTTTTGCCATTGCAAATGGCTTCAAATACGATTTAGGACAGAAGAAGCCGGCCGACAGCGCGTAGCCAGTGTCGGCATCGGATGGTTTGGAGCGACAGCGGATGGTCCAGAGCGACAACGAATGGTCGGAAATGGGAGCGGAGGGTCGAGAGCGCCAGTGGATGGTCGGGGACGGAAGTGGAGGGTCGGGAGCGCCATCGGATGGTGGGGAGCGTTAGCGAATGGTCGGCAGTGGTAGCGAACGGTCGGTAGTGGTAGCGATGGTTGGGAGCGCCAGCAGATGGTCGGGAGCGTCAGTGGATGGTCGAAACGGCAGTGGATGGTTGGGGACCATAGCGGATGGATGGGAGCGGTAGTGGATGGTTGGGAGCGATAGGGATGTTCGGGGAGGGGGGGGGGGGCGGTGGATGGTCGAAACGGTAGTGGATGGTCGGGAGCGGGAGCGGATGGTCGTGAGCGGGAGCGGATGGTCGGGGTGCCAGCGGGTGGTCGGGAGCGGGAGCGGATGGTCGGGAGCGGGAGCGGATAGTTGGGAGCGCCAGCGGGTGGTCGGGAGCGGGAGCGGATGGCCGGGAGCGGGGGCGGACAGTCGGAGCGGGCGCGGATAGCTGGGAGCGCCAGCAGGTGGTCGGGAGCGGGAGCGGATAGTTGGAAGCGCCAGCGGGTGGTCGGGGGCGGGAGCCTCCGACCAACCGCAGCGTTTTAATCGGTGCCCTCCGGCACCAATAAGACGTGCAGAGCGCTGGCACGTTCCAAGGTCTCATTAGATTAGGTATCTTATCGCTGGCGGGTACCAATCTTAAGAGCTCACCAAAGTTAGAAGGAGGCCAAAGATCACTACGTCATGTAAACGGCCACCAGCCAGTCGGGTGAGACCAATTACAACCGTCCGGCAATACTATTCAAAGCATACCTGAGGCGAAGTTATTCAATGGCCAGATTACATTTAAATCGTACTTCAGCTGTTCCATAGCACTTAATGATAAGTGCCGCGTCACCGGTGCCGCTACGACATGGTGGTTCGGACAAGCAGCGGGTGGTCTGGACCATTAGCGGTTGGTCTGTACCAACAACTGGTGATCTGGACCAGTAACTGGCGGCTTGGACCAGCAGCGGGTGGACTGGACCATTAGCGGTTGGTCTGTACCAGCAACTGGTGGTCTGGACCAGCAGCTGATGGTCTGGAATAGCAACTGGTGGTTTGGACCAGCAGCATGTGGTCTGGACCATTAGCGATTGGTCTGGACCAACAGCGGGTGGGGCCTGGACCAGCAGTGGTTAGCCTTAACCAGGGAGGTGTGATCTGGACCGGGTGCGGGTGGCCGGTATCAGAAGTGGGTGATCTGGACCAGCATCGGGTGGTCTGGATCAGAACCGGGTAGTCCGGATCAAGACCGGGTAGTTTTGACCAGCAGCGGGTGGTCCTGACCGACAGCGAGTGTTATGGACCAACAGCGGGTGAGCGGGTGGCACGGACGAACAGCGGATGAGCGGGTGGTGCGGATCAGACATGCTTTCGTCGGCCTCAACATCACGCTTCGGCTCCCAGCTTGCCTTCTGTCACCCGCGAGCCGCGCACAGCCGGGCCCGAGTACAGCACTGGGGTTCCAACACAACCGACCGACGTTTTCGGGTTTCCCAACATCAGCAATGTTCTTGATGTCTTGCCGTGTATCCTCTATGAGCTTCAGGCACTGATGGGTAACACGACATCGCATCACCACAACATCACATCACCACAGCATTGCATCAACATCTCCACTCCCCCTCTGTTGCTACGCACCGGTTGCGCTGAGCGATGCCCCTTTCCCTGGCTCCACTGTTGCAATGTTTTTTGTTAGATACTGCTGTATGATTTGCTGCTGTATTTGTTTGATTTGACATTTGAGCGCAAATTTACGATACGTTCTCCAAATCCCCTCCCCTCGTTACTCTTTGGTTGCGTTTCACCAAAATCCCCTCCCCCGTTCATTGACGTAGCTTATGAACTTTTGGCGGACGCGCGGGGCACTACGAACAACTCGTCGTTCATTGATGGAGAACGATCCACAGACTGCGCGCTGCACCGCACATAACAGGCAACGTAGGTCAAGAGAAACCCTGTCGTGCTGAAGGAATTTGTGCCGCCCTTCACCACTGGATATGGCAGCCCGTCGCCCGGCCAGCGGCTCACGTCGATCGGCGTCAGTTGCGGTGGCGCCGCCGGGTGGTGCGCGCTGCGGGTGTGCGTTGGCACTGGCATCAAGTCACGGGTCGTCGTTGGCAGCCGTCGCACGTAGCCGGGCGTTTATCAGCGTAAGCGAAACCACCAGCGGACCGGAGACGAGAGGCGACACTTCAAGGATTAGGGCTTCTCGGTGTGGATTGACCGAATTTTAATTTTTGTACCCCGATTAGTGAAGAAACATTTTCACTATGATGTGGTCCTGGCAAACAAGTTTGATGTAGGTAGATGTATATGTTGACCATTTTTAGTCATGTCCATGAATATTTGTGTGCCCCATTTTAAGCTGTGATGAGACATGATATTTTTACATTTACGGTAACATGCCTCCCAGTCGTCGGTTCGGCATTGTTGACGTCACTGCTGTGGATATTTCTGGGTTCTAAAGCGATAAGGGACATGACAAAGCTGCGCTAATTGGCCCCAAACAACGTTCAAGAGATGAGGTCCGCAAAACCTAGAGATTCTTGTAGACGGCATAGGAGAGCCTTCCTCATCAACCTAGTTACCGGGGGTCGCACAGGTATTGGGTTTTCTCCTTCCGTTATGAAATAACTCACCATTACTATCAGTTCCGATGGTCTCTTCCGTGCCTGTGACCGTCCACCTGCTGGCCGTGCTGTTCCAGACGCGACACAGCGGCGCCGCAGCCCAGATGACGGACGAGTCTAGCGTTCGGGTCGCCCTCAGGTAAGCCTCCTGCCTCCACCCTCGTATGTCTCCGCGCCCTCCTGTCCGGCACCTCCGCTTCCGGGCCGGGCTGCCTTGCCAGACCCAGGCCCTCCGGCCCGTGCTGCCGCTGCACGAGCCACACTGCCGCCGCCCCAGCTGTGGAGCTCAGTCGGCACCGTGTGCCAGCAGTGGTGCCAGGTGTGTTTACACTGCGCCCACACCTGTCGCACTGCCCCGCCCCGGAATACGGCACACTCCGTTACCTTTGCCCGGGCCCTCACATTCAAGAACGGCGTGTTGCGACTCGCTGTGAGGCCGGCTCAAAGCCGATGAGCGCTGCCTGGAAACGGTAACGAAACAAAGCGCAGGCTCTAGCGGTGCGACGAGTCACTAGCCCGCTTTTTGTCAACTGAGATGTTCATATTTGCAACGCCAGTTGATTAGAACTTTATCTCGTAGTGCTGAATAAACGCGCCAGTCATTTCGATACGCACAACTGCCGCTATTACTTATTCACAACGCGCGCGACGTATCACAACTTTTAGCCTTGCAGAGTGCTTAACAACGTCTTTCCGCGACCTGCTTACAGTAAAACAACATCCCACATATGGGTGTCAACTATCCCCGTTGCGTCTAGTCTTTCTCGCGTCCTTGACAGTCTGGTTTTACCACGCCCGTGCAGCATGAAATCTGCGGAGTTCGCTGAACTCCATAACGGAGGTGGTATGTGGTCTTGTCTCGCGCCAGACCGTGCGACTCCATAACGGAAGGTGGTATGTGGTCTTGTCTCGCGCCAGACCGTGCGACTCCATAACGGAGGTGGTATGTGGTCTTGTCTCGCGCCAGACCGTACGACTCCATAACGGAGGTGACATGTGGTCTTGTCTCGCGCCAGACCGTACGACTTCATAACGGAGGTGGCATGTGGTCTTGCCTCGCGCCAGACCGTACGACCCTATAACGGAGGTGGCATGTGGTCTAGTCTCGCGCCAGACCAAAGAATCCCGTAGCATAGGCGACATGTAGTCTAGTTTCGCGCTAGACCATACGACTCCATAACGGAGGGGGCATGTGGTCTGGTCTCGCGCCAGGACCGTACGACTTCATAACGGAGGTGACATGTGGCCTAGTCTCGCGCTAGACCATACGACTCCATAACGGAGGTGACATGTGGTCTAGTCTCGCGCTAGACCACACAACTCCATAACAGATGTGACGTGTGGTCTAGTCTCGCGCCAGACCGTACGTTGGCGTCGTAACACAAACGTTTACCTGGGAACGGCAAACACAGGCTGGGGGCGAGTCCAGCGGAACGAGGACAGACGAGCCTTGAACCTGTGTTTGGAAACACACGCGGCACGGGACGGAAAACGACTAACAAACGCTGGCGTTGGTTTGGTCATCATTACTTCCGTGTGGAGTAATCCAGGTGCAGCTTTCGCAAACAAACAGGACTTCTCACCGAGGGTCAAGCAGGTGCGTACAACTCTCTGTACAGTGCGTACAATGCGTACAACTCTCTCCACGCGGTCGTCTCCAGCCGCTGGCAACTCGCTGACCTTGCCTCGAGCAGACCGGGAACCATATGCAGCGTGCGCTGATGTCTGAACTCAACCGCAGTTCAGCGCCGCGATCGCCGCTTTTGGCCAGCGAGCGCGACTGACGCCCTCCCCCGCTCGTGCCGACGGCTGGAGCGGTGCCGGGCCATCCCGCCGGCGCTGTGCCCCCCCCCCCCCTCCCCCCTCCCATGGAAGGCTGGAGCTGTGCTGAGCCATCCCGCCAGCGCGGCGCCCCAGCCTGCACGCTCAATAGCACCGCCATCGATTTCTGGCGTGACGCGGAGATCGGGAGAGAAGGCCGTCCCCGGAGATTCACGGCGACGGTGCCCTTCCCCATGCAGCCACCGGTTGAGTGTTGGCCCCAGGACGTCTTTGAACTGCCTCGGAACGGCCCCGGTGTGGCCGGCAAGGCCAATGCATCTACGGCGTGTAAGGGAAAGCTTATAAGTTGACCACTGCTAGAACCGCCCCTGACATATCGACTGAGCTGTTACTGAGCGATCTCAATAGCTGGTGAGTCGTCGGCCATAGCTCCGAACGCTGGAGTCGCTTGGTTCCGACTTCTGACGATGGCAGGAGGTTGTGGCGACCGTTCAGTGGCTCGGGCGGTGGAGTCGAGTCGCTCCGTGCCGATTTCTGACGATGGCAGGAGGTCGTGGCGACCGTTCGACGACCCGGGCGGTGGCTTGGAAGCAGTGGCGGCGGTTCAGCCTTCGCAGGTCGACTCTGTCCAGGGAAATCGGTCAGAACACTGACGGCTGTAACAGCTGGATCGGGAGGGGGGGGGGGATAGAATAGTGCTCGTAAACGACATAAGGTTGCTGTGGAAGCGCTTGAACTTAAAAAGCGGATAAAAAGCGGATGCTCTGGTAATAATCAGCCTTCAGTATACCAGGAGGTGCTGGTGAAACGACCGACCTTCAATATACCAGGAGGTGCTGGTGAAACGACCGACCTTCAATATACCAGGAGGTGCTGGTGAGGCGACCGAACTTCAATATACCAGGAGGTGCTGGTGAAACGGCCGACCTTCAATATACCAGGAGGTGCTGGTGAAACGACCGACCTTTAATATACCAGGAGGTGCTGGTGAGGCGACCGACCTTCAATATACCAGGAGGTGCTGGTGAAACGACGTTACAAAAGAAAGCGTTGGCTATGTTTGCAAAGCTTGACGTCTCAAGCTGCGTTCATGGCCGCGAGTGCCCTTTTTTGCCTACCTTTGCGCGATCGGTTATTCTGCCACCGGTATGGCGAGCGAGTGTCCATCTCTCACTGGGTATTCGGCTGCCTCCCGGCTTGCTGTTGGGGAACAATGCTGGAGTACGCTACGTCAGCCCCACCCAGCCATCCCGTTTTGGGCGCCTTTCAGAGGCTGCACGTGGCCCGACAACGAACCGGCACGCAAACAGCGCACAGCATGGCGGCATTTTGCCATTTTCGGCTCGTCGAGATGACAGCAGCCACTCTGCGTGAGGCGCCGCTGTCGTTCAGTCAGCCCGGCTGGGTCGCCGACTGTCCAATTGCGGCCAACAGCGCCAGAGCTGCCAGCCGGGCCCACCCTGCCCTCTGCCGTGACGTCATGTACACCCACGTCCGTCTGGTGGCCCGCTGTTGTGGGCGGGATCGCGCTACCGGCGGCGGGCTGAGTGGAGCCGACAAACAAGCATGTTTTCAACGTTTGAAGAGGCAGACATTGAAATAGTGTGGCGCACAGTGTCGAGCCGCTCCCGAATACGCCGCACCGACTCAGGCTCGCGCCGGCCGGCGGGAGCGTGTTTGTGTGCTGACGATAAGCGGTAATAGCCACGAGTCTATCGTGGCAAAATGCGCCCATGTCCATGAATGTAAACTGGGGCGGCCTGGCTACGCGTGATGTCCACACGGAGAAATCTGCCGCGGTGCACGGACTGCACGGGCTGCGTGTGGATTCCGTCTCACGCCGCCCAGCTGGCGGTAACGTGAGCCCGCGCGGCGTTTACGTGAGTCACCGGGAGCAGTCTCGCTCGCACGGGATCCTGCGGCCGACCAGCTGAGCCCCAGCTGGGAACCGACGGCGGTGTCCTGGGCCGGCACAGGGCGTGGGTGACCTGACCCGACCTGGCGCCGTCCCGGGTGCCGCTGTGGCTTCGGCGGCCGGCGCCCGCTGCCGATGTTAGCGACAGCCGGAGTGTGTCGGCGGCAGGCGGACTGGCCCTGGTGATGGAGGACTGGATCTGTCTCGGTGCTAGCTCCGCCGGTGTGAAACGAACGATCTCGACGATCTCACGGTCTCGCTGTGGAGATTCGCGCGAGGTCTGTTTTGGAGGCGCGTCTTCCTCACCTTGATCAGGGGGGATCGATACGACCCCGCCCTGTAGATTTCTGAGCACACCTTTCCGGCATACTGTGCAATCGTGCCTCTAAAATTATCAGCAGCCCGTGGAACATTCATTGCATGTGTTTCAACACCAAAAACATCTCTCCAGCTTTTCGGATTTCGTACCAGCGCTGGTTTTTGTGGAACACAGCACGGCGACCAGCGTCCGGCGCGGGCGGCCGGCGACAGCTGATGATGCCGCGGAACGTGTGCGGCTGGTCTACATTGTTGCTTTGATTGGGTCATTCATCATGAAAATATGTTCAAAACGCAAACAACAATAAACACGAGTGCTCAGAATTGAATCATAAACACACCTGTTAAAGTGTTGTGACGCTGAAAGTTATGGTCTCGTATGTATGAGGTATGTATCCAAAGTAAATCCCGTATATGTATGTACATATATATATATATATATATATATATATATATATATATATAAGGTGTGTATATATTATGCATGTATGTCCATATCTATATTTATATATTAAGCTGAAAAGTGCGATTTTCGGGAAAATTTTACATTGCACCTGGCAAAATGGAATTAATTACTGACCTGCCAACACAGACCTCATGACAGGTCGCGACCTCTCGTTGAAGCTTAACTTTTGGTGTATTCCGCTAAGCTGTACCTTTAGTAGCTGGAAAACGGCAGGGGTCGCATAGAACTCCCTCTCCCCCTCCCCCATTAGTCCGCGATATGAGAGGCGGCGAATGAGGGCGAGGGTTAGGAGGGCGTTCAATCGGCAACCAAGTATTATTCTTGTGTGCAGATGTAACTTAATGCCTGCTATCCTGCTTGGTGGATTAGGGATATGTGGACGAAAGACTCGACGATTAGTACCACACTTGACACACGCCTGATTTCGTTTTCGCCATGTCGTAAAAACGCAACAACGGCACAGCATATTCAAACGCTATCGCATGCAAAAACATGGAGTGGGCATGGAGTTGTGCGGTCAGCTGTTGTATTGTGAAATCGGAGGGTAATACGGTTGGCATTGCACGTAACCGTTTTCCTTTTTGGGCGTACAACGCTCATGTACGAGAAATTTAATCACCCCGCATGCCCAGTCGTTTCAGAATAAATGTTAATCGTA